AAATGCCTGTGGGCCCAGCCCGTGTGGAGACAGCCCCAGACACGCCTGTGGGCCCGGCCCGTGTGGAGACAGCCCCAGACACGCCTGTGGGCCCGGCCCGTGTGGAGACAGCCCCAGACACGCCTGTGGGCCCGGCCCGTGTGAGCCCCAGACACAGCCGTGGGCCCGGCCCGTGTGAGCCCCAGACACAGCCATGGGCCCGGCCCGTGTGGAGACAGCCCCAGACACGCCTGTGGGCCCATGTGAGCCCCAGACACGCCTGTGGGCCCGGCCCGTGTGAGCGCAGGCCCGTGGCTCTGAGGGAGGGTACAGTATGTTGTACAGAGGCCTTCATCCACCGAAGGCCCTGCTCCCCTGGGGCCTGGCTGGCGGCCGTCGGTGGCCGTGGTGTCCCTTCACCTTTGGTGGAGTTGAGGGCTGGCAGCCCCAGCCAGGCACAACTACAACGGACACTTCTCTGGAATGTTCTGGCTGAACAATGTGAGGATCTGCACCCCAGGGTCACTTGGGGCCTTCCCTCGGGGGCTCAGGCCTGTGCACATTCCCGGTAGCCACTTAGCAGGAGGGGCTGAGGGGCTGGACGCCGGCCTGGTGGGAGGAGGGGCTGCAGGGAGCAGGGCTGAGGACGCCTGCCCGAGCCTGCCAGGCCCCAGCGACACTGCCGGACGCCTGCCCCAGCCTGCCAGGCCCCAGCGACACTGCCGGACACCTGCCCCAGCCTGCCAGGCCCCAGCGACACTGCCGGACGCCTGCCCCAGCCTGCCAGGCCCCAGCGACACTGCCGGACGAGGCTGCAGACCTGAGCTCCCTTGGCCTGGCCGCTCTGTGCCACCCTCCCAGCCTGTGGGCCACAAACGCTGCTGGCAGGAGCCAGGGAAGGGGGCTGATGGGTTTGGGGACGTGTTTTACGTTAACCATTCCAGCAGGATTTCCTCCCCAGAGACCAGGAGCTGGCAGGGACGGCAGGAGCTGTCTGGCCCTGGCGCGGTCTGTGCCCTGGCCTGTGGGGGCGACCTCAAGGCCTGTGGACAGGGCTCCTTTGGGGCTGGATCGCCTTTGAGGTCATCAGTGGAGAGCCAAGCACCTCCTTCAACAGGGCTAGGCGGAGGTTCGGCAGCTACCCGGCGCCCCGGAGCCTCTCTGCCCTGCCCCGCTCCTGCCCGCTCCTGGGCCCCACGGCAAGTCTCCCTCAGGAGATGCCTCTCCCAGGCATGCCCTCGGCCCCGCACTTCCTGAGCCCCGGCCTGCAGCCTGGAGAGGGAGGCTGCTGCCCTGCGAGGCTGAGGCGGGCCTCCGGGACACCCGCGTTACCTGTTTGGCAGGGAAGCTCTGGACACACGATCTGAGGATCTGGAAGACAGGAAAGATGGTGAGCTTCTTCCCGGTCCTCCGGGCAGACCCACCGGGGGTGGGCGCCCCGTCCGCCCCGGCACTCACCCGGGCAGAGCACATCTTCCATGTCGTCAATGAACTTCTCGGCCACGAGGTCGGAGAAGAGCGTCATGTTCCGCACCTGCTGCGGCCTGTCGCAGGCGATGGAGTGCAGGCTCTCGCTCTCGTGCCTCTCGTGGAACATGTCCCCGATGCCGATGGCCGTCACCGTCACGTCGCGGTCGCACAGCGCCCTCAGGCTGAGCTCATCATCCCGCGGGTCGTGGCGGCCGTCCGTGATGACCACCGCGAACACGCGGGTCTTCTTGCGCCGGCTTTCCTTGATGAGCTGGTTGTAGGCGAACTTGAGGGCGGACGGCGTCCAGGTCCCGCCGGCGATCCACTCCAGGTTCTTCACGGCCTCCTTGAAGCTGGACAGGGAGTCGATGCGCTCGTCGTCCAGCTGGATGGCCTCGAAGGTGCCCTCGTGGCTGTACTGCACCACGCCCACTCGCGTCCCTGCGGCGGGCCGGCGTGAGGGCGCGGCCCGGTGCCCGGCGCCCCCCCACGGCTGTCCTCCCAAGCCCCCACGTCTCCAGACGGGCCGTGGCCGCCCCCCGCTGACCTGTCTCTGACTTGGGGTCCTTGGCGATGGCACCCAGCCTGTTGACTACGTTGATGACAAAGTTTTTCTCCAGGGTGAAGTTGGTGTAGCCGATGCTCTCCGAGCTGTCGATGACGAAGACCACGTCCAGGGCTCCACAGCGCTTCTCGCAGTCTGGGAGGGGAGGGGCAGGGTCAGGCGGGGCCGTGGGCCCCCGGCTTCTTGCAGTCTGGCGGTATGGGCAGGGTCAGGGTCAGGGGGCCGCGGGGCTCCTGCAGAGATGCTGGGTGACTCACCACAGCACCCGCACGTCTCCCGCACGTAGGTCATGACGTCACACTCCTGCAACAGTGCCAGGTGCGTCTCAGGGCTCAACACCCGTGTCTAGCGGAGCCGCACCGCTGTCCCCCCGGCCTCTCGGCCTCACCCCTGCCAGATGTCCCCTTTCACCGCCGTGGGTGTGGGAGGAAGAGGTGGCTTCTGACGACACCACTCCTGCGCCACGTGGTACCTACCGTGAGGCCGGGGTCTCCGGGGGGGCCGGGCTCACCCTAGAGGAGGGGACACGTGAGCGGTGAGGGCCGCAGGCCGGTGCAAACACCTGCGAACACGGGACCGCAGGGCCAAGCGGGGGTGAAGGCGTGGAGGTGGCCTACCTCAGGTCCTGGCACGCCCTGTGGTCCGCGGGGTCCCGGCTCACCAGGGGGCCCGGGGTCCGCCTAGGAAGGACAGGCCAGGGGCTCGGAGGAGGGCCTGGGCAAGACCCCGTCCCCGAGGGCCCCGTCCCCGCCTCCCCTGGGGGCAGGGAGGGCGGGTGATGCCTGACTGAGCCCCCCAACATCTAGTCTGCATGTCCTGAGCTGCTGCGCGGTCAGGGCCTGGCCTGCTGGACAGCAAGGCCCACGGCAGCCACAGTGGCCGCAGAGATGGCTCCTGCAGACCCATGGCTGTCCATAGCCATCGCCCACCCCCACACCTCGCCCACCCCCATCTGTCCATCTGCCTGCCACCTGTCCAGGCACCCATCCATCCACTTCGCACTCTCTGCTTCCCCTCTCCTCTCCCTCCCTTCTCTGTCTCCACACCTATCCAATTGCCACCACTTGCTCACCCGTATTCTCCGTCTGTGCTCACCCTACCTGTCCACCCGTCCACCCTGTCTGCCCTCCGCGCTCTGTCTCACACTTGCTCAGTTACCTGTTAGACATCTGGTCCATGCTAGGACACGGACATGAACCTGGCCATGCCACTGAGCGCCTGTTGGCGGATGCTGGTTACAGCTTGGCGTAGCCCAGGGATGAGGGAGAAGAGGAGCCCTGAACCTGGCCCGGGCAGGGGGGCTGGTGTCCTCCAGCAGGATCGCAGAAGCCAGCCAGCCGCCTCAGCCACAGGCCCTCCCCGGCTGTTCTGCCAGTGGCCCTGGGTGGCCGGACGATGAGCACACTTACAGGCTCTCCCTTCTCTCCTTTCCTTCCGGGTGCTCCTTTCAGGCCAAAGTCTCCTCGGCCTCCCTGTGACACGGGGCACCCCGTTAGCCCTGGGCCATGCAGAGGCGTCTGTCCATTCCCAGTCCACCCTGCACGTCCCCCAGAGGTCCGGCAGGATCCGGCATGCGTCCTGCTGAGGAGCAGCCAAGAGCAGCACAAACTTGGATTTTCCCGGAATCCCCGCTTGTGTTTAGAAAGGGGCACAGATGTGTCTGCAGCCACCTCTCAGCGCCCAGCAGGGCCTGTGGGGCGGCCAGGGGCAGGGATGTGGCTTGTAAGATGGCAGACGCTGTCCTGACCACCGTGGGCGGGACCCTCTACCTGAGGGGGGCCGCGTACCTCGGGGCCTTGGGGGCCGGCTTCTCCTTTCTCTCCCTGCAAAGTGGGCAAAGTTCTGGTGAGTTGGCTGCCACAGACTGTGACATCTGCCCCAGCTCCGATCATCCCAGATCTGTGCCTGAGCTCAGGCCAGCGCCGCCCAGGGCCGCGTGTGCCCCCTCCTGAGCCCCCCGTCCCCCCTCCTGAGCCCCCCCCGTCCCCAGGCAGGGAGGAGCCCGTGTCCCCCCTCCTGAGCCCCCCCTGTCCCCAGGCAGGGAGGAGCCTGTGTCCCTCTCCTAAGCCCCCCCCCCGTCCCCAGGCAAGGAGGAGGCCGTGACTGGCCGCCCCTCTGGCCTTCTGGCACGAGCTGGACCTGGCTTTGCATTGCCCTCCAAGCTCCATAAAGGTGGCCTGGGAGACTGCCAAGGCTCAGGGACCTCCAGCCCATCTTCCCCCAAGCAAGACCCCATTTCACGCCGCCACGCAACTCACAGGTGTCCCCCGGGGTCCTGGGTAGCTGAATCCAGGCCTGCCTGGGTCTCCCTGGAAGAGACGGCTGAGTCAGTTGGGGAGAATGAAAGTTGGAGGTGGGGGTGGTGCCCCATGTGGACTGGGGCAGGGGCAGGTGGCGCTGGCGGAGGCAGGGCTGTGGGGTCAGCTGGGAGGTGGGGCTGTGGGGTCAGCTGGGAGAGGGAGGCTGTGGGGTCAGCTGGGAGGGGGAGGTGGGGCTGTGGGGTCAGCTGGGAGGCGGGGCTGTGGGGTCAGCTGGGAGGGGGAGGCGGGGCTGTGGGGTCAGCTGGGAGGGGGAGGTGGGGCTGTGGGGTCAGCTGGGAGGCGGGGCTGTGGGGTCAGCTGGGAGGCGGAGCTGTGGGGTCAGCTGGGAGGCGGAGCTGTGGGGTCAGCTGGGAGGAGGAGGTAGGGCTGTGGGGTCAGCTGGGAGGCGGGGCTGTGGGGTCAGCTGGGAGGGGG